AAATCAACTTAGGACGCCTTGTGAGTGATTTACGAATGCTTTAAAGCATATGTTCATAGAGCCTTATAAATTCAATCTACACTGAAGTAAAACTTCACGTAATCGCTATTGGTGAAATCCTTTAAATTTAATTGTCCAATGAAGATATCGGTTTGAAAAATCCAATGAAAGTTATGTGTCAATGTTTTTCATATGACCATCATTTAAGACACATATTTCGGAGCCACATGTCTTAGAAACCTGGAAAAAAACGAGGGGAGCGACACATCTAAATCTCAATTCTAGATGCTCAAAAAATCTCACACTAGCAAATCAATCTTCGAAAAATCTCGCCTAACTTTTCAAAAGGTCCTATATAACATTTTACTCTTTTCGAGAAAAACGAGGTTGAAGATTGACAAAATCTTTTTTGATACTATTTTAAACCAAATCAACTTTTGACATTTTTAAGACCTTTAATAGTAAAATGCGATAGTAAAATTGAAATTGAAATTATAATCTACCCGTTTCATACATTTTTTTCTATGAAAACGTGAAAAATGTTACATAGGACATTTTGCTCTTGTCAGGTGTACATTGGACATGTTATATAGGACGTTTTGTTATAATCACAGTTACATAGGTCATTTATGTTTTCAACATTATTTGTTTGTTTTTAAGCATTATGAGTGCATAATTTAAGTTATACGAGTTAAACGAACAATATGAGTATTGGACAATGCATCAACTTTTTTTTTAACGGTATATCGCAACACTGCCCACAGATTGTTTTGGTCGATCGTTGGTGGTCGCGTGAGCTGCTTTTTATTTGATAACAGTATTATTTTAGGGGCTGTTCATTAACTACGTAGACAGCTTTTCGGTATTATTGACCCCCCCCCTCCCCATGCGTAGACAATTGTCCATATAAAATTTTTAAAATTTTTATGGGCCGTGGATATGTATGGCCTCCCCCCCCCTCCCTCGCGGAAATAGTAGAAAAATGCTTGACATGAAAATTCCGATGTGCACAATCACATTGTTTTGGTTTGTTTGAACATTTTAGACGTTTAATCGTATAAACACAAAGGACCGAAGTACAAATCTGCATTGTTTTGGTTTTTCTGATACTTCAGACGTTTGCCTTGATGAACATAGTCAAACGTCTTATGTAACAGTGAAACATCGTTAATGCAAATTTGGACTTCAGACGTTTTGTTAATTTAGAATTTTCTCAATTGAACATTAATCTGAATGTGTGTGTGTGTGCATAATGTTCATAGGTACAAATGTTACAATGTGCATTTATAAACTCGATTTGTTTACATTTGTTACTTAGGACCTTTTGAAAAGTTAGGCGAGAAATCATCTTTCATTTCTCATATCTACTTGCATCGCGTTTCATCTTTTGCAGGAAATCTCCAAAATCGACATAAATCTTCCTTCTATCTACTCAGCGTACGTGCAGATAGCCACAGCAAAACACAATCTTTTCTGCATCGTAGATAGAGTCGTCCCCCTCGGAAAAAATACGTTTAATAGGATTTTCCAATAGCGCAATTGTATATGAAAATCATTGGTTTTTACGTGTCACTATCGTTCCGTGTATGGATGATTTACTGAGATTTCATCTTCGAAAATCGCGTGGAATTCCTGGGTGCACTTTCACAGTAATTTCACCGTTCTTTGGCCAATCTATGATTTTACGTAAATACTATGATTTAAACTTAGTGGTGCAACTTGCATGCAAGCTAATCTCCAAACAATTTCGCAGCAAGTGAATCGTTAAACACTGAAATATCGGCAACAATATAAGTTGTGCAGCCATGGATTTTTCGGACGAAACTTGAATTAAATTGTCCCCTGAGCCCCAATGAGGGAGTTTTGTTATGAAAAATGATTTTCTTTGGTTTTGGCACCGAATACAGTGCTCTCCCGATTCTATCTGCTTTTTTCCCGATTTTGTCAGCCTGCAGAGTTCATTAATTTTTTAAGTTTTTAAACATGGATTTTCAAACTCTACGCTATGAATAATTGTTATTTTTACACTTCGCTACAATGTGAATGCTAGGGGAAGCGGGGGTAAAATGAACATACGCAGCTAAAAAGCCATTGCCAAAGCGCTGCATAGAATGAGGGTCCCTGACTACCTGTGCAGGATTCTAAGGAGTTACTTCCAGAGCCTGGTTCTGGTCTACGAGACAGATATGGGACAGAGATCGATTAGGATCACAACGGGAGTTCCACAAGGCTCCATCCTTGGTCCGAACGCACGCCTTTGCCTCGAAGCGCGTGTTGAAATATTTGGGAGTGATGATCGATGACCAGCTAAAACTTCAACTGCCACGTCGAATATGTCTGTGGAAATGCTTGGAAGGCCATCAACACAATATTTAGCTAGAATCATGCTGAATAACTGAGCAGTATGTTCCGGATCATGGCCATGCGAGCCCGTACAGAACCATCTCATCGGAAGCAGTATGCGCTATCGCCGGAATGATCCATATCTGCATCACCCGGCGGTGGACAGCGAGTGCTACAGTCGGAGAGAAGTCGGTAGAGTACGGAAAGAAGTGAAAGCGGAGTATTTGGCAAAGTGGCAATAGGAGTGGAACACGGTGGACAACGCTAGATGTACACATCGGTTATTACCGATTTTTTCGACCTAGGTGAACAGAAAACACGCAGAAGTCAACCACCACCGGACGCAGTTCCTGTCTGGCCACGGCTGCCTCAGGAAATACCTGCATCGGTATGGACACGCAGCGTCACCCCTCTGTCCGGAGTGTGGCAACGTGGATGAAACGCCGGAGCATGTGGTCTTCGACTATCCTAGGTGCGAGACAGTGCGAAGGGAGATGCCCGTCCTTAACGTGGAGAATGTCGTTGGAATGGAGAGAGGAGCAGCAATCTAGCAACGCCAGATAGCACTGAGAGTATGAGAAGTAGTCGCTTTAGCGTGGTCCCGGGAGGATCCAGGCAGAGTAGAGGAGAGTAAGGAATGGGCTTTAGTGGAGCTACACTAGGCAACTACTGGATACCACCCCGTGCCAACTTCAATACAGGTCTGAGTTTTCTCTGCTTTGAATGTTAATACATTTTTCAATATCGTCAAAGGAAAATTGATTCAATAATTCTTTGATGGTTTAGAAGAATTTTTACAAATAATAGCCATATGTAGGACAAGGTGGGGTAAAACGCACCCTGGCGTCATAAGACCAACAGCGTTTTTTCTCGTAATATTAAATATTGATATAAACAATTTCCCAGATGACTGTTCTGCAGCTCTTCTAGTAATTATGGGTGAAACTTTATTAAATTTGTTTTGAAAAATACGTAAATAAGCGCTGTTGGTCATATTATCCCATAGCACCCCGTACCCTATAAGGATTTCATTATTCTGTAATAGTTTTGATCAAAACATAATAGGAATTTTTTTCCTGATTTTGTCAGTTTCCAGTTTTTGTCAGCCTAAAATTTGAGAAGGGGCTAACAAAATAGGGAAAGCACTGTATATGTGGAATCATCTATGTAAATTTTAGTGCAAGGCGAAAACTCAACGGGGCACAAAGCGCTACCATTGCAGCAATGGACGCAAAACGTGGTCAACACTCACACACTCATCACGAACAAACACGAGTAAACAGACGATCGTGTGACACACATCGAGTTGCCTGCTTCTATCGACAGCCGAGTGAACACTGAGGTGTTGAGTAAATGAACTGATTTTCTCAACAGAGACTACATGCATACAGAAAGTGAATTATGGATGGGGAGCATACATTTGAGAACATTGCTGAAAAATGGGACAGCCTAATGAACATGGAATGCACAAAGGGAAAATACTAAGCAGATGTAATCTATGAATATCTATTTATTCTCAATTGTAATTCTAAAATGAGGAAAGTCGCACGTTCACTAATTTAGCATGATATAAATAGATTTCCGCAGTGGATTTTTATCAGCACGACAGTTTCCGGCACTCCTGAATTTTCCTTAAATTTTGCGTTTCATCACAATCAACTTGCTCGCATTGTGCCAACACTTACTTCATATTTGGAGATGCTCATCAGACTTAAAGTGGACATTTTATACGATAGATGAGGAGATGAAATTACAGAGTTGATAGATTCGTTATAGTACGGCAGTGTGAACATTGTATAAAGATAGTAGAAAGCGAACAAAGGACAATTTTGAGGAAAGTTCGGATCGGGTCGAGCATTCCCTTTACCCTTTACCTTGCATTCTAAATTTGCATAGTTATCTTGCCCCGGGAGTGCATCTTACGCTATCCACGATGTGTGGACAGTTCTATCGATTGTTTCATACTCAAGTTGCCATCTGCTATCATTTCCTCAAAATTGTCCTTTTCCCGCTTTTTACTTTCTATATAAAATTTTCACACTGTCGTGCTATAACGGAACTATCAACTCTATACTTTAACATCCTCATTTCCTCATCTATCGTATAAAATGTACACTTTAAGTCTGATATTGACTTTAAGCATCTTCAACTATGTAAATCGTAAACTTTAGTAAACGGAAACGATTAGTTAAAATACTTACTTCATGCTGATTGCCAGCAGAAAAATAATCTGCGCTAGTTAACATAAGCATAAGCGTAAAATGGGTATATAGGGGAAATGCAGGTAATGTCGGCCTAAGTGTCCCTAATTTGGGCCCATACATAAATTCAGCAATCAACTAAATTTTTTAATAGCAACCAAAAATATCCATAAGTAACGTCCCAATAACGCGTTCATCTAGATAAAATTGATAAATAGCAGACTTTTAGCGATGGGCCCAAATTAGGGACATGTAGGCCGACATTACCTACATTTACCCTAGTAATGTTCTGCATATTACCCATGGGGGGTAAAGATTGAAATCCCCTTGATCCGCTTCTGGATTCCTTTTAGGCAGAATCAATTTTTATCAATACAAAACATATGTGATCCCAAATAGGAGAATTTCTATACTGCAGCATAGAAGGTCAATTCAAGATTCATTTTCATTTTCCAGGTCGTTCAACTGCGATGGTGGCCCGTCACGCGGGACTCGATGATGTACGGGATAGCCGTCATCGGATTGATTACGGTTCTCAGCGATGGCAAAGTTATGTGGTACGAAGCGGCGGTATTGGTATCGGCCTACGTTTTCTACATCACTGGTGAGTATGACATTTTTGGATTCATTTGACCATCTATGGAAACCGTGTGTGTTAGTTGTGAATTAACCGGATCTTTCCTTATCAACAACGAGTTTGCATCAGAAAATCTTGTTCAAATAGTGTTTTCACGTGAAACTCGAGAGGTATCTGCGTGCAGTTATTTAAATGAAATTCCTTTTCCTGGACAATGCATCGTAGTAGGTACTATTTGAACAGAACGATGCACGGAACAAACACTTGGATGTTACCGTTATCAGAAATCTTGCATCTTATTCAAGCATTCCCCCGGTCAGGATAGAAACGGTGGACGTTTTAGTGATTTATTATCACGGAATGAGTTGTATTTCCCACCGCGACTGAATTATGAACTCTATCCAAAAAGCGGTTTACATTGTATGTGGGTCGGAAAAGGTGCATTTTGATATCTCGGGCGGCGCGATACGATGGCAATGAACTTGACGTCTCTATATTTTCATTTCCACCAAGTGGCGCGCGACCGTCTTGGAGCAAGACAGAGAGCTTTATCTCGCATTGTGTTTTAGATTACGCCGGTTTTTGCGAAATTAGTGACCAAGAATTAAATTTATGGGCTCTGAAATCCATATCAGTGAGAGATGGTCTGGCAATTTGTTGTCTGTTTTATTCTATTCTGAACCCAAAATCGAATGTGACGTGGTATTTGATGTATCATTTAGTAGCAAACGGATGAAAGAGGTGGCTAGTTCCGCTTTTGCAGACCTCCTTTCCTTGACATGGATCTGGAAGTGAATATGTTAAGGCTACAATCAGCTGATGCTATGTGGTTGGTTATTATACTGTCTATCTTCGATTGCACCAATCAGATTTTATAGACGGATGTTTTTGTGTTTCATTCTTTGATTCAGGTTCTTTGTTGATGGGCTGTCTTATTGTAATTTTATTGTACAACCTTGAACTAGATAATAAAAAATACTTCAGCTTTCTTGTACACAGATAAAAATTCTGAATGTTAATAGTGATGTAAACATTCATTCACGTAAACTTGTATTTCATTTCACGCAACCGAGCAACTTGTAAACAATGTTGTTTCCAACAATGGGCTTTTGTATACAATATTTGCTACATTGCATGAAATGTCTCAGAACTTTACATGGTATATAATGTAAACTTATATTATATGTGACGCTCCATTTATGTGCATCATAGTGAACAGAAATTTACACTACTTTTTCGAACTGTGTATATTACATACATTAAAAATTGTCATATTTAATTTGTATTGAGGAAAGCAGTTTGAAATTCACTCTGTTGTTGATCAACTGATTGTCGAGTAAATGTTTGTCAAAATGAATTTCTTGTCGATCAGAAATAAGTTTGGTGGAATATCAGGTAGAAATGGTCACCCTAATGAAAAATAAATACGGGTCTCATATTTTGAGATAAGGAACAAAACTAAAATAAAATTACGAAATTCTGAGAAGTGGAATGGAATGGCTGAATTAAAAAAAAACTGCCCTAAACGTTTCTATAAACTTCCCGACCTATTCTGAATTTCCGACAATTTCTCGCAACGTCAGTCAAGTTTTCAAAATGTTTCTTTATTTCTCTAAACTTCTCTGATGCTCTCAGTAATTTTTGATACATCTGCGTTCTGGAATTCAATGGAACTGCCTTAAGGTTCTTGAAATTTATCTGAAGTTCTCAGAACTTCCCTAAAAATCCTGCAATTTTCCTGATTCTAACGGTCTGAGTTTTCAGAACTGCTCGAAGCTACGAACCTCCTTTTAAACATTTGAACTCGACATTTGTTTTGACAGCTACTGTTAGGTTTCAGCAACCTTCCTGAAGTAAATGGGACGGCCCTGAAGCTCTTAGATCTTCATTGATTTTCTTCAAATTTGTCTGAACTCTATCGGCACTTATCTGTAAGATCTTGAAACTTGGGTGAAGTTCTGGACGTTCTTGAAGTCTTTGGGACTATCCTCAAGTTTTCAAAGTTAAATTCATATAAACTCCAAGAAATTTTCATTCTTGAGGGTTCCCGCATTTGTTCTCATGTTAATGGAACTAACATAAAAGTTTAAAAATTATCCTGAAGTTCTCGGAACTTCATTAAAACTCCGAATACAATGCCTCCAAAATGCGTGTAACGGCAAGTTTGCAATGGCATTACTTAGTCATTTTTTAATGAATTAAAAAAAAAGGTGTCTCTTGAATTCCTACACACTTAGAAATTATGGTTTTTACACGAGACGTAATTCAGCTTTGACGTAAATCATGGAACGTAAACAAACAAGGCATGCAAAATTAAGTTTCCTGAAACTCAAACATATGCAACTCGACGAAAAGTGCGTTTGATTGAATTGATTTCCTCGTCCTTTTCAACTGATTCTTATATCAAAAGACTAACAGACTAGAGTGGTAATTTTTATACGATAGATGAGGAGATGAAAGTATAGAGTTGATAGTTCCGTTAGAGTACGGCAGTGTAAAATTGTTTATATAGAGTAGAAAGCGAGCAAGGATAACTTTTATGAATGAAGGTACAAATCTGTTTGATCATCTCTCTTTTCCAAACTCCTCCGTTGGAGAGGGTTGGTGAAGGGTATTTCCTCCCGCCACCACTGGCAAAAAGAGATGATCACAGTTCTTCCGATGAAACAGTTCTACCGATTTTTACCGCACTCAAGTTGTTATTTGAAGGAAAGCATCCAGTCGTAGGTTTGGAAATTGCAGCTATTGTTACCTCTACCCCGGTATGTGCTCCTGTCATCGTTGACTTGACGATCTCGAGGGGACACGAGTAGGGTAGGTGCTTCCTTCCCAACAAACAATTTCAGTTGTTCAACAGCTGAATAAGCTATTTTTTAGCTGAAGAAGCTTGTTTTCGCCTGAATAAGCTCTTATTAAACATTCAATGTTTGTTGGGCTTCGAGCAATGACAGATCAATACCCCTCACCATCCCTCTCCAACGGGGGAGTTTGGTAAAGAGAGATGATCAAACCGATTTGTACCTTCATTCATAAAAGTTGTCCTTGCTCGCTTTCTACTCTATATAAACAATTTCACACTGCCGTACTCTAACGGAACTATCAACTCTATACTTTCATCTCTTCATCTATCGTATAAAAATTACCACCCTAGTCTGTTATTTGAAATTAGTATCTTCAACTATGTAAATCGTTGACTTCACGCAGAAGTAATATAAAACAAATAGTTAAAGTAAAATATTGGAAATAGGGTCGCCTACATTTTTTTAAAGTAAAAAGAGGGAGTTACACGTTTTTTTGAAGGTGTGTTTATGAGTTTTGCAAGTGGCTTAAGGGCTATAATTTAGAATAATGGGCAGAAATGTTTATAATTAGCCAGAATACAGTTTTTAACTCGAAAGCGCTTAAACCACCGCTTTCGATTCGCTGTCTACAGCATTTTTGCCGCCGAAGAAGCGCGGTTTTTGTACCGAAAGTGATTTTCATGTGATACAAAATGGCGAAAACGGAAACCTTAATAGAATTGGTTCGAAGCTATTTTTTTTTCAAAGATGTTTGAACTTGTAAATTTAATTTACTGCTTCCTGAAATTTGATCAAGATCTCAGACTATCATTGGAACTTCTACAATATTCCCATCTACAAAACTCCCTGAATTCCCCCGAAATTCTCCAAATTCTACAGAGTTCTATGTAGTTCCAAGAACTCCTACAAAATTCCTTGCTCTACTTGGAATTCGCTCAACTTGTACAAAGATCGGTAAACTGCTATAAACTCACTGCCCTTCAAATAAGCTTCCGAAGGAGAAATCTAAGGTATTTGTGAGTTTAGTTGACCACCCACGATTTGTACAATTGCATATGCTATGCTAAATCTAAGGAATATGTAAGTAGCACTACATTTATTTATAAGGAGAATTTAGAAACTGTAAGTTGAATTCCAAGGAAAGGAAAAAATCCAAAGAGATTTTAGCAGTAAATTCAGTTCTGAGAATAATTCCATTGATTTTTTTTAGGAGTATGACAAATGAATTCAAAGGTGAGTTCCGGAGAAGCATTTAGCAGAACTATTTTTTTTCCTGAGATAATTCATCTGAAATATCGGGATAATACTAAGAGCGAACTCAAGAGACTGTCCGAGAGTTCAAAGTCCTTCGAAAAGAAATTATCGTAAACACCCAAGACTTCAGCATGATCATTCTGGAAATATTCAACAGCTCAATACGCCACAGGTATGAAGTTCTTAACATTTTTCCCTGAAGTTCTACGAAATTCCTGGGTATTCTATGAAATTCCTTGAACTTTCACATAATTCTTTTGAAGATATGTTTTTCAATCTTCAGCTTGGATTTCTTTGATATCAGATTGACCGCCCACGGTTGCTGCTCTGTTATTACCAGATCAGCTGCAATTACAAAGAGAACCAACAGATGATGTTTGGGACTAACATTCATCCTCAATGTGTAAGAACTGGAGATCTAATATTTAGCAATACCAGCGCCAGCCGTGTCCGAATGCAGGTCAACTAGGGAATGGAAAGGAATGTGCTGACGTGATACTCCTCTGCGCTTCCACGAGAAATCACTGGGATGTTGGATGTGGGGAAAGGTTGCACGCACACGCAGGGATCGTTTTTGTGGTAGAGCGATTATAATACACAAACACAAACACACACACACACACACACACACACACACACACACACACACACACACACACACACACACACACACACACACACACACACACACACACACACACACACACACACACACACACACACACACACACACACACACACACACACACACACACACACACGCGCGCACTCATCCAATTTCTATTTTTAGATCAGGACCCACACTGTGGTAAGTGATGCGATCGGTGTTAAAGAAGAATTTGTTTTCAATAAAATCTAGTGGGTATAGAATAAGGCAAAGTGAAAAATTGCAAGGAAGGGGACGGGCCTGGGATTGAACTCCCGACCTTCTGCTCAGTAAGCAGAAACGGTAACCACTGAGCTACCGAGCCTCGTCTTTAGCTTGGATTTCTTTGATAATCTGCAAACTTTCCTGAAGTTCTGTGAGCTTCTCTTATGTTTTGAAATTTTCTCTGATGTCTATCAACATTTATGAAGTTCTGTGAACCTCTTTGAAATTCTGCAAAGTTTTTGATGATCTATGAATTCTCCTGAAGTTCTGCAAATTTATCTGTAGATATACAAACTTTCTTTGAAGTTTTGCAAATTTATCGGAAGTTATGCGAACTTCTGATGTTCTGTCTATGAAATTTCCCGAAGATCTGCAAATTTTTTCTGATGTCATGCAGGGGAAGTTAAGTTTTGTAATTTTTTCTAAAGATTGACAAACTTTCGTGATCACCAGTGGTAAGAAATCTGTAATATCAAATAAAACTGTAAACAAATACTACTAAAATGAAGAAAATTGCCAAAATACTTCAACGCATTTTCCTCTACTTGCAAAGAAACTAACAAAAGCGCCTCTTCTTCATCCGACGACGAATCCATTGCTTTTTGAAAAAAACCGTGGAACTCTCGGATCAGCTTTATGGATTGACCATTTTAAGGATGTTCCAGATCTTCCAGACGACGGTCCCATGGCCATCCAAGTCCATGATTATGTCATGACCCCAAATTATTTCTTATAACACAGTTCCAAATTCTTAAAAAAAAAAAAAACCGTGGAGCTCTACGATCAGTTTTGTGGATTGACAATTTTTAAGGATGTTCCAGATCTTCCGGAGGTCCGATGGCGTTCTAGGTACCATTTATGTATGACAGTGTCAAGTATTTTCGAAAAACCACAGAGCTCTAGGATCAGTTTCATAGATTGATTATTTTACGGATGTTCCGGATCTTCCAAAGGACGGTTCGATGGTCATCTGGGTCCATGTTTATGTTACGACCCCAAATTCTATCTTATATCACAGTTCCTATTGATTAAAAAAACCGTGGTGATCAGTTTCGTGGATTGTTTACTTTTACGGATTTTCCGGATCTTCCAAAGGACGGTTCGATGGCCATCTGGGGCCTTGTTTATGTTACGACCCCAAATTTTATCTCATATCACATTTCCTAATGATTTAAAGAAAAACCGTGGAGCCCTAGGATCACTTTCATGGATTGTCTACTTTTACGGATGTTCCGGATCTTCCAGAGGATGGTCTCATGCCCATCAGGGTTCATGTTGATGTCACGACCCAAATTCTTTCTTATCTTACCACAGTTCCTAATATTTTCAAAAAAAAAAACACGAAGCTCTAGGATCAGGTTCGTGGATCGGCCACTTTTAAGGATTTTCCAGATCTTTCAAGGACTGTTCCGTTGTCTCCTTGATCCATATTTAGGAACCATGACTGTATTCCAATAATCTTAATTATAGATCTTAAGCCACTTGCAAAACCCATGAACACACCTTTAATAAAATTTGAACGACTCTTTTCACTTTTAAAAAAGTAGACAACCCTATTTTCAATCTTTTACATTTTATCTTAAATAATTTACAGACCCTAGGACTTCTAGAGGTACCACATTTTTCAAAATTTGTTCAGAAATGCTAAGTTATGCCATTGAAAACTTGCCGTTACACGTTTTCCGGAGGCTTCGTAGTCGGCGTAAAGTTTTTTGACCCACCGTATTCGGAGTGCTAAAAATCCCGCATTTTCCTGACGTAGGTATATAAAAATATATATAGCCTTCTAGCTGATCTCAGGGCGTTCTGAACAGTAACATATGCGATCACCGGTGATTGTTACGCAACTGTCGATAGCTACCATGTATGACGTTTATAATACAGTTTGTGTCTATAGACTAATTCCAATCGAAACACTTGTCGCCAATAAAAACATCTTTTTCCTCCACTCTAGCGATGATCTGCAACGATAGTATCAACCGATTCATGTCGCGAACATTCCGCCGGAAATCTTGCGTCAGACCGTACACAGAAGTTACGGAAATCGCACCCCTTCTGTCGAATGGGCAAAACAACGGAGTTTCCAAGGGCAACCAAAATGGGCAGAACGGCCACACATGCGACAGTGAAGCCAGCGAAGACAGCTTCGAAGAGTATGGTTTGTACCGTGTGCTACATCGTGCCTTCAATTTGACATTACTAACGCAAGCTTTAATTCTGCACAGAACTAGCATCAACTCCGTGGAACCGTCGTGACGAAAACACATTTGCCTACATCTGTCGTTGGCCGATTACATTCTTCCTGTGGGCCACCATTCCCGACTGCCGACGGTATCCCAAGCTGCGCACCGTCACGTTCTTTATATGTATTTTCTGGATCGGTATTACGTCCTACTTCGTAGCATTCCTTATCACCGTTGTAGGTAAGGTCTTAATTTATTCTTGTATGGATTTTTGGTATTTGAATATTTTTTTCCCACAGGTGACACAATGGACATTCCGGATTCTGTGATGGGTTTAACGTTCCTGGCCGCCGGTACAAGTGTACCGGAAGCGGTATCCAGTATTATAGTCACCAACCAGGGTCATGGCGAGATGGGTATCAGTAATTCCATCGGGTCGAATACCTTTGACATCCTCCTGTGTCTTGGGCTGCCATGGCTTATCAAAGCGTTAGCGTTCCCAGCCGTTGCTGGTAACAATTGGGTAAGAGCTCTCAGTCTGAAGTTTTATAGCCGTTTTGGTCATAAATTAATTTGCATTTTTTCATGTTGGATAACAGGTTGCACTGAACTCAACTGGTTTAACCTACTCGGCGATATCGCTGTTATCGACGCTCTGTGGATTATATATCGCCTTTTGGTCCAACCGCTTCAAACTGGACTGGAAGGTTGGACTTACGTGTACATCAATGTACATTGCCTTCCTGACCGTGTCCAGCCTGATCGAGCTGAACGTATTCTTCAAGGTGAACCTGCCAACCTGTATTCATTAGTGGACGATCCGTACTACAGTAAGATATTACAGTGCTGCAAGTTTGTGTGCGATATGCGTGTTACCGTTAACATTGTTAGGTCAATAAAGATTAAAACATAACGATCGGTCGGTTTCGATCCTATAACCATTGTGGATGAGTGTATAGTATCCCCCCGCTAATCCGGCTTTCGTTAATTCAACGAATCGATAATCCGTGGAGCTCTTGTGGAGTGCTTTTTACATTGTTTGGTTGGTAACGTTAATTTGCATGGTTTTGACAGTACGATTATCGAACCAACCGGCCACAAATTTGTCGGATTAGCAGTGAGATACTGTATTTGAGTTGTGTTTCTATATTGCGTGATTTGTTATGGAGTAGATAGCCCATAAATCTATCCTTTATCCCTGTATTCTATCAATCCAAATTAGAGATGGGTAATTATATCCGGATGCGTTGAAAAGATCTAGATCAGTAAGGAGAGTGAATGAGTGAATGCCCGTCGGATTCAGATGTGTGCGCTGAGTTAGCTCTCTGTTTAGTGCGTGTGGTTGCTTTGATCGGTTTCGGCTACTTTTGGCTGATTAGCGGTTGGTGCTCTGCCTCCCGGACGGTTTTTGAGTGTGTGATTGTGATGGTTTTCTCGCTCTCCAAAGAGATGAACTAGCCTAAGGCTAAAAATCTCAAAAATGAAGACAATAAAAAAAAAATTCGCTCTCCGGGAACATTTCTAAACGCGATTCAGTTGATTTCAGTTGATTATAGTTCTCAGCACGTTTCATCGCCTGAAGAGATATTACTCTCCCTTTATTTGTGCCAGCGTTTTTGTTCTTCATGTGCTCCAGGACCAGAAATTCGTGGCATGGCGAGTGATTGTTTGTAATTTTAGTTAATTTGCGCGTTGTACGATTTGATGTGCGCCGATGGAAAAAAAAATTAATTATACCTACACTCAAAAATAAATGAATTCAAAAATGCTTAAAAACCAAGCAATTTCCTGCTTTGCCTTATTGAGTCAGAACCAAGATTAGTTTGCCAGTAATAATTCATGAATAAATTCGAAATAATCATGCAATGCTTACTTTTCAATGTTTCTTATTTAAATTTCAAGATTTCATTTCTTATTTAAATTTCAAGATTTTCAGCAACATTGAATTTTAGCGAAGACTTCATATCAAGAAGACTGGCAACTTTGCCAGAATTCAAGCGACATATACAGTAGCGCTGCGCTTGAGTGAAGGTGGAAGCAACGCATAGAAAAAAAATAGCAAATACACAAACCTTTCTTCTGAGGATGTAATCTTTGCTATCACATTCGTTCGAAGCATTTACCTTTGAGCGGCAGATGACGCGATTGTACCTGTCGCATAGCATTCGTATGAGAAAATGGATGAGTTGCTAGTCTTCTTGATAGTTGTCTTCGATTTTGGTTATTTAGAATTTAAGTTTTAATCATTTTACATTGAATTTGTTACTGTGCAATGCTGCTCGTTCGAATCATGTCCGTGTTACCCTTAAAGACAGCGTTGGGATCTGCTGAAAGTTATTCGGCGAAGGTAGCTGAAGCTGTGTTTTCTCTTTATATATCTATTTTTAATACCTTTTTACGTTGTTTTTTCCTTTGAATTCTAGTACTAGGTAGCTTTAATTGAAAGGAAAAAACAACGTAAAAAGGTGTACAATTATTCTACTAAAATGCTCATCAATCAATTTATTTCTATTTTTAAGTTCTTGTATGTGTTTGATCTTGGCGATGCGATTATCTGTTTACAATCTTAACTTTTATGTTTGTACGTTGTTTTCTCTCTTTTTGATTTAAGTAATGAAGATTTAATTGTCTCTCTTTGTCAAAAGTTTGTCAAAAAACTCAAAAACTAAAAAAGTTAGGGGCAAATGAATGTAAATGCATGCATGAAATGAATGCAAATGATTTTCCATGCCTAGCGCCAGCGAAAACAAAACCAATCGTTCGTGGGCAGAGCCTACAGCGTTTTTCATCTAGACACTAATATAAGTAAGGCTACACCCAACCGGTGGATGTAAGATTCGCTTACAATTATGTGGGATTCATCATCAGAGGATGTAAGTGGAGACCGCATGAACCGAGGATGCGATATACCTAGCTGCGGTCCGATGTAAGAAAATTGGAGACCAAAAAATGTGGAGTGTATTAGTGAGTGAAATTAATTATGTCGAAAAAAATAGAAAAAAGGTTGCCGACTGGACTCAAACCACGAACGTTGCGACTATAAGACCAGTGCTTTCTCCACAGCTCTCTCCATGCTTCTGAATATGGTTACCCTAAAAGCAAACATGAAGCGCTCATTTTCTCGCATGCTCGACTTCGTATGCTTTTTCTGCTGGAGAGATTCGAGACAAGTGTGTGCGTCGTTCTACAATATTCTACAATGTGCGTCGTTCTACAAGCTTACTGGTATAGTCGAAAGCGTAGATGGAACACGAAATAAAAAAAGACAAAAAACCATTACATCGCCTGCATGGTCAATTCCTAACATTCGCTGCGATGTTCATGAACAGAGGATGATAGGAACTGGAACTAACATTCATTGTAATAGATTTGTGGTTTGCGCACTTTGCACTATAAGAAAATTCGGTAAAATATACCTGTTTTCGTGATGAATATTGCTCACTAAAAGATATATCTTTTAAAATAATCATGTTTATTTTAAGGAATTGTTGACAGGATGAGAAAATCACTTTTCCTATGAGAATAAAAAATAAAAATTAAAATATCCACGCATTTCGGAATGCTGTGAGGAGCAGGGTTGGCAAATGTCATTTTCAATTAAAGATCTCACGCGATATTTACAGAGATATTTCTGTCACTATCATCGGACGAGAAAACGATGACAGAGATTTTCTTCAAAATTTCATCGATTTTTTTGTCATGACAGAACGTGACAGTGTTGTGATCTTCGTGATTACTAGCTCATGTATTGCTATTAAAGTTACTTGTACCGAGGAAATCTTAAAAATATATTCACTCTACCGATGACATACGGTTCCTTGCTTAAATTCATCTAAATCAGTTAGAAATGTTGATGTCAAAACCGCGTAAGAATTATTCTCATGAGTGCTTGATCATTGGAAAATGAGAAGCAAGCTAATGATCGGTCATTTCGTCTCGTGATAGTGAGAGGACCTGTTTTCTCATTATCACATGACGGCCATGATATTTACCACACGGGAAAAAATCCAATCTCCGAAATGAGAAAAATGAATTCATGATTTAATGAACACATCGTGTTTTCATGTTATGAAAATACACCATGAATAATATTCATGATATTATGAGCAACTTTTCCGTAACGCATCAAACATTCCCAAAATCATGAATCATCCGAGTTGAAATCATGACCTGAATTCGAACCAAGAACCTTGAGATCATTAAACCCATACATTGACCACAAGTCTATCAGTACTTGAATAAGATGGAAAACAAAATACGTATAAGAGCTACCTATGTAGTGTGGTTTATGAACACGGTTTTCCATGTACGTGTAACGCTTGTAGCGGTCTTGATTCCACTGCATTATGAAATCATGAATTTCCATGACGAAATCATGAATCATTGTTATGATTTCATGGGATGGCAAGTTTTTTAATTTCATGATTTTTTATTCATGAAAATGAAATCGGATTTGTTTCCGTGCAGCTCTGGTGAGGAGACGATATTGTCCAGCGTCTCAAAATCAAAGTCAGTCAGTCACTGGGCAAATTCTTTACCATTATTTCTTCCTTCCTTTATTTATTTAACGCCGGTCTCTTTTCCGCAATCTAGTGCCAATCACCGACGGACATCGATTGCCATCCATTGACGGCAATCGAATGTGCAGGGAGGCAGCTTCCACACCTGCGTAGGATATCGCACACATTCAACACACATGGGCCGGGACCAACGGCTTTACTTCCCTTCCGAAGGAAGACGTGACCAGATATTTTTATTTTTAAACCCAGACCCATCGGGGTGTTAGAAATTTACCATTATTAGTAAAATTTTGAAGCCAATTTTAATCGTACTAGGTTTAAGAGATCCGAATAACTGTTGAAAGTACCCGGGTCACCTATATATGAATCAGCGGTGCTGGTGGTGTAGTGGTAAGCGTGATTATCTCTCACTCCAAAGGGCCTGGATACAATCCTAGTTGGCGCCGTCGGGATTTTCTGAGACATAAAACAAACCTCTGATCACGCCTTCCTTCGGAAGGAAAGTAAAACCGTTGGTCCGCGGTCCATGAGTTGATGGGTCGGCAGGTAGTAGATAGGGTCCAGGTGTGGGTGGGAGCTGCCTTTCTGGCGTCGGTAGCATTGGTATTCAAAAAGTCCACACGTCTGATCGAAGTGTTTAAACAGTTGATTTTTCATATGCACAATCATTTATAGTGTTTGAAACTTTAAAATGTTGATAATCTTTCTCTATCAATTTAAGTGTATTGCACATTGAACCACACTACTGTTCAAAACAGATGGATATGAAGTGTTTGCATTTCAATGCGATGTGAATTTTTGTTCTGCAAGGTAAACATCGAAAACATGAATTGTGACTACATCCTTATCAACCAGCCTCATATATGAGAACAACCGTACTGTTTACGTCAATTTTTTTTTGGGTAGATTTTCTCGTATAGTTTTCAGACTGCAGTGAGATGTAACCCACACTTCTGAAATGTCCGCGAGTAACATCCTTTCACCGAGCATTTCATCGGTAATTTTCAAATTAAAATTCAGAATTTTTAAAATTATCTTTTTCGAAAAAAAATCTAAGTGCTTGTAAACAGTATCACTGAACTGTCAAAAGTTCATCCGATGAACACTGACTTCATTCGTGACGTCACACTGCAGAACCTAATTAACGTTTTGTTCATCTCTAATAGGACAAGATCCAAAGCGTTATATTTCAACAGATGGCACTTTTTCAGTGACAGGGAAATCGAAATTTCGAGCCAAAAAAGCATTCCATCTTGAAATTAATACATTAGGGTGTTTCATTCTGGGAAAAGATTGATATTTTTGATAGGCCACCCCCTAGTTCAGTTCATAACACAAAAACAAACATCTGTGCAAAGAATCAGCTAAATTGGTCGCGCCAACGATTTCAATT